AAAACATGGATTCTCTAAAAGTATTTTTATACTCTCAAAAAGAAATAGATTTTTACTGAACCATATTTCAAAAGTATATGAAAATAGCAAGAAGGAAAATCACTGATGTATTTTTATTTAAATTGCATTAGTTTGTCGGATTATGATGTTTCTTTCAGATGCATTTTCAAATGTACATTTATAAACTTATCTGTGAGACTGGGTTTCTGAAATCATATTTTCTAGGCGTCTTTACCAATCTTCTCATTGGAAGATTACTTTTTTCTGTTTCAAGTTAATGAGAATATTCTTATTACCAATGAAAATTCTAGGGAGAGGAATTTCATTGTTTTATCCTTCATATTTGGATTAAAAAAAAAATGTGTCCTGTAGCTTGGACCCAGGATCTTGTGCATGCTTAAGCACTGATGTACAGCTTTGTCTCTTATTTAGATTTGTGATCTACCAGGAATTGATTATATATATATATATATATATATAAAATCAATATATATATATTTATATATATATATATATATATATGGTGTGAGGTAAGACTTGTTTTTCCATATTGCAATAAGTGCATTGTTTTTAAAAAATAGCATTATATCTCTACTGCAGTAAGTAAAATTTGTTGCACATCAGATGACCTGTGTGTGTGTGTGGGGGGGGGGTGTGAGTGTAGGTGTGTCTGTCTGTCTGTTTCTTTCATCTGGCTTATTTTTGTCCCATTCTGGACTTTGAACTGTTGCAGCTTTAAGTAAGTCTTTTTTTTTACATTAAAAAAATTATTATCTTTAAGTAGTTGTACAAAGAAGTTCGCATTCCACAAAACAGTATATGAATGCAAGGTGTCTAACAACATTGCCACCCATCACTCCTAACCCATTCCTTCTCTCATTTAAGTAAGTCTTGAGATCTGGTCATCTAAGCTGATTTTTCCTTTTTTTTTTTTTTTTTTTTACTGTTTGAGCTCTGGGCCTGGGCGCTGTACCCTCAGCTCTTCAGCTCAAGGCTAGCGCTCTCTCCCTTGAGCCACAGTGCCACTCCAGGTTTTCTGAGTGGTTTATTGGAGATAAGAGACTCACGGCCTTTCCTGCCTGGGCTGGCTTTGAACCGAAATCCTCAGATCTCAGCTTCCTGAGTAGCTAGAATTACAGGGGTGAGCTACTGGTGCCTGGCTAAGCTCATTTTCCTTTTTAGGATCATCTTGGAAAGTCTGGGCAAATTCTCCTCTCGTTTTTTTTCTTTGAACCATCGTTGCAAATCCTGGCCTTTTTGTAAGTTGTAGAATCACCTTTTGAGTGTTCTTCAAAATATCTGCTGGATTGTTACTGCTTTATAGTGTTTGTAGATCAGTTTGGGGAGAATGGACAACTTATTGATATAAGTTGAGTAATCCTAATGCAAAAGGCTTGGGACCACCAGTGTTTTGGCTATACTGGAGTGTTTTAACTTCAGGCCACACTCTTGCCATGAAGGTATTCTACTACTACTCTGGTCTTCCCCCTCTGCTGTCCGGTTATTTTGAGATAAGGTCTTGCCTGTAGCTGGGCCAATGCTTGGACTGAGATCTGCCTATTTTACAATTCCCATCATAACTGGAATGAAAGACATCCGTTGAGATGGAGTCTTGCAGACTCTTCTCACTGGGCTGGCCATGTGGCTAGGATGACAGGCATGTATCACTATTCCAATTAATTGGTTAAGGATAGGTCTTGCATTTATGTCTGCCTTGGCCTTGAATTGCCTCCCAAGCTAATTGTGATCTTCCCAATCTTGGTCTCCTTTGCAGTTTAAGATTTCAGACATGTGCCACTGGTGCCCTAATCTTAGGGGTTAAACCAATATAAACACCTTCTACACAGAGCCAGAAGGTGATTTCATACAGTACATGTAGGGTACCTGCGTTTTGGCTGTGACCAGTCACGTCCAGTTAGGCCATATTATCTGAGAAAATTTTGTATGGTGGAACACTTCAGATTTTTGGATTAGGAGTTGTCGATTGTACTGAGTTCTATGGTCTGTGAATCTGCTATTCTTTTGGTTTTCCTTCCCACAGCAGTATATTTTAGTTTTCTACATAGTTCTTGAATATCTTTCTTTAGATTAATTTCTGGGCATTTGATGTGTCTTGATGTTATTGTAATAGGTGTTTTTAATTTTTAAAATTTACTTATGTAGCTGGGCCTGCCTACTTTCTTAGCCTCCTAAGTGCTGGAATTACAAATGTATACTACCATACTTGACTCTCAAATTTCATTTTTGAAAGATTTGTGGCTGTTACATAGAAAAATCAATTTTTATGTATTTTATTATTTTAGGAATTTATCTGTAGATTATTTTGAATTTCTTTGTGCTGTGATATTATCTGTAAATAGTGAAACTATTTTGTTTCCAATTTTAGTACATTTTATTTTTCTTAATGGTGTGAATATATGCAATACAAATATGAGTAGTGAACATCTTTGTCTTAAACTCAAGGGGAATGTATTTGGTATTTTACTTTTAAAGTTAATATTATTGTAAATTTTGTTAACTTTCTCATCAGCTTAAGGATGTTCTCTTTCTAGCCTATTCAACTGGATAATTTCATTCTATCTAATCAACATGAATACCTTTTCTGAACATACACAGATGACCACATTATTGTTTTATTCTGTTAATGTGGTTCTACATTAAACCACTTTTGCATTCTTGGAGTAAGTCCCATTTTAGATATGCCATCTTTTTTTTATGCACCACTGGATTTGATTTCCTATTTTACTTACAATTTTTTTTTGGGGTCTGGTTGTGGGCCTGAACTCTGGGCCTGGCGCTGTCCCTCAGCTCTTCAGCTCAATGCTAGTGCTCTACTACTTGAGCCACAGTGCCACTTCCAGCTTTTTTCTTTTTTGCTTATGTGGTGCTGAGGAATCAAACCTAGGGCCTCATGCATGCAAGGCAAGTGCTCTACCACTGAGCCACCTTCCCAGCCCCTTTACTTATAATTTTGATGTTGTTATTTTTTTGCCCGTATGTTCATGTGACATACATTACTTCTCTGTCTTGGCATGCCCTTTTTTGGTTTCAGGGTTATTCTGACTTGTAAAACAATAGGAAGGAAGTACTCCCTTTCTACTTTTCTGTTAGGGAAGAGTTTATGAAGATGAATTCACCAGTGAATTCATAAGGTCTTTAACTTTTTCTTATGGGGAAATATTTAAATAATACGTTACTTTTTTTTGGTAATTTAAAATGACTCCTTGTGGCTACAAGGATTTCAGTGCTTCTGCCTTTGGGACGAATCAATTGACCAATCTGTCATCCTTTAGAAGAATATTATGGGAAATTTGAGGGAAACAAGAGTTATTCTATCTTATCACAAAAATGAACAGTTATCATCAGTTAATGACCAGTTTTTGTTTTCATTGATATGACTCCTTTCTATTGATTATACTTCCTATTTTCGAAGTAAATCTCAGTAACTATATTAGTTCATCTGCAAGTATTTTAATCGGTGTAAACAAGGGCTTCTATAAATATATTCTTAAATGGAAGTATAAATGATACAATAAAAATATGAAAGTGTAGAACTTGATGTCTTTTTACGAATGTGTATATTTGTGCAACTATCACCCAAATCGAGACACATGGGAAGCACCCTTATTGCTATGGATAATTTGGTAAGAATTTTAAAAAAGCAAACATGACCATCAAGGTCACGATAATGTTGATGAGCATGAGCATGTAATCCTAGCTATTCAGAAGGCTGAGATTCAAACGATCTCAGCTCAAAGCTAACCTGGGCAGGAAAATCTGTGAGACTTCAGGCATAACCAAGCAAGCCTAGCAAGTGCAACACCCTCAGTTCAAATACCACCAAAAAACCAAGCCAAAATACCCTACCCCCTAAAACCAAACTCAGCAATGCCATTGTAGGATCTGGTTTCCCTCCCCCAGTCGTGGGATTGAATCTAGAGTGCCATGCATGCTAAGAACACCTAAAAATTTAACAGTCCCTTACAATGAATTGTGTAGGTGTTTATATAGGACCTAAAAATTTAACAGTCCCTTATAATGGTTTCATCTGATTGAAATTCCTTGCCTTGCTCTGACAACTTTGTATGTAAAAAGAGACCTCTGGTTGGGGACTACTCCTGTAATCCTAGCTACTCATGAGGCTGAGAGATGAGGATTGATTGCAGTTTCAAGCCAGCCTGGACAGGAAGGTCCATACACCTAACAGTTAGAAGTAGAGCTGTGGCTTAAGTGGTACAATGCTAGCTTTGAGCGTATAAGCTCATGGACAGCTCCCAGGCCTTGAGTTCAAGCCCCATGACTAACTGGGAAACAAAACAAACAAAACAAGCAACAAACTGTTTCTTTTGGCTTTATTTCCATTTTTATTTCTTATTATTTTTAGTTTTTGCCAGTCCTGGGGCTTGAACTCAGGGCTTGGACACTGTCTCAAGGAACTCTACCACTTGAGTCACAGTGCCACTTTTTTTGTTTTGTTTTGTTTATGTGGTACTGAGGAATCAACCCCAGGGCTTCTTGAGTACTAGGTAAGCACTCTACACTAAGCCACATTCCCAGCCCTCCATTTTCATTTTTAAAATTTTTATTTTTATTTTTTATTATTTATTTTTTGTCAGTGTGGGACTTATATTGTGGGCCTGAATGCTGTCCTTCAGCTCTTCAGCTAAAGGTGAGCACTCTATCACTTGAGCCACAGCACCACTTCTGGCTTTTTCTGCTGAGGAATCGAACCCAGGGCCTCATGCATGCGAGGCAAGCACTCTACCACTGAGCCACCTTCCCAGCCCTTTTTATTGTTTTTAGAGACTAAGTGTTAGAACAGTTGTAAGAACAGAGTAGGTACAATACTTTCTTAGTGCTGCTTTCTAAACTTTGTCAGTCATTCCTGTATAGGACTAGTTCTGACTGAGGACCTGCAATATAGAAAAAAAAGTAAGCAAAAATAGTCTTGATTAAGTTTGATTTGCCAAGTTCTGTTTTGTTTTCTTTTTATATTATAGATCAGCTTGAACGGGTCTTTTTACGACTTGGCCATGCTGAAACAGATGAACAGTTGCAAAATATTATATCTAAATTCCTTCCTCCTGTTTTGCTCAAACTGTCCAGCACCCAAGAAGGAGTGCGGAAAAAGGTAAGCAATATGTTGGGACTGTTGGGGGAAATTAAATGGATATGTATTGTGAATGAGTTTTCTGTTCCTCTTGTTGAAATACAGGCTCATGATTCTAAGAACAGTTTTTCAAAGTGGATAATTAGTATAAAACCAGTTTTCAAGATGTAAAAGTAGTTTGTATGCTTAGCATAGCTACACTTAGCCCCAGCTATTCACTTGGCAGATAAAATAATCATAGATTATTCTAGACTGAGTACAGGCCTGGTTTGAAATCTATATCTTGATTCTAATATGGGATTTGGTGTGGTAAAGGGCAAAAATACTCTTTAGTGATTTGCTAACAGTGAATAAGGATAACCTTAACTAAAAGAAAGCAAAAACATTGTCTTGAAAAGTGAATCATCATCATCATCTTCTTCTTCTTGAACTCTGGCTTCTTGAACTCTGAACTTCTGGCTTGAACTCTGGGCATGGGCGCTGTCCCTCAGCTCTTCAGCTCAAGGCGTATCCTCTACCACTTGAGCCACAGTGCTACTTCCGGTTTTCTGGTGGTTTATTGGAGGTAAAAGTCTCACGGACTTTCCTGCCTGGGCTGGCTTTGAACTGTGATCCTCAGATTTCAGCCCATAGAGTAGCTAGGATTATAGGCTTGAGCCACTGGCGCCTGGTGAAAAGCAGAATATTCTTGTATAGCTTCTGTTTTAATAATTTGTAAAGGACTGTTTAAAAGTGATGGATAATTATAACATCGGTATTTTATTTTTTAAACTCTTATACATGTAGTGTTTTCTTCTTTTGATTTATAACATGGTTCATTAGTAGTCTTCTGGTATATTTATAATAGATCTTCTAGTCTTTTAGCTATCATCAGGTTTCATCTCTTAAGGAAGGATCTCCAACTAGTTGGCAGTGAATTCCTGGAGGTCTGACCTTAGAGGGATTCTGAGGCCTGATTTAGGTTCAGTGGGGAAAGAGTATCTTTAAGAATGTCTGTTTAGAGGAAGGAATGACATTCTTGTCATATATTTGTAGGGCCTGTTGTTAATCTTTTACTGCGATAGATGTGTGTTTGGTTTTGTCACTTTCCTATTTAAAACCTTGTTTGGCCTTCACTTGTTTATTTTTATTTTTTGTTTTTTTAATAAGTTTTTTTTAATTGTAAAAATACCGTAGAGAGGGTGGCCTTCTCTTATCTAGCAAGGTCTAAAAGGCTCTTCATGAGTTGATGTCTATTTATTTAGTTTTACTAGTCCGGTTACTTACTATTAATAATCTTGACTGTTAGGCATGCATTGGTGAGTGAAAGCAACTCTTATGGGGGGGAGATTGGTGTTAACCAATCAGGTAAATAGTACATAGTTATAGTTTATGATTCTTGCTAAAATAGAAAAAGAAAGGATTCAGGGGATATGATTTAGATTGTTGGTAGGATGGCATTCAGTAACCAGCAAGGCTGAGAGGTAAGGAAGACCATTAAAGTCAGAGTCTGGGTTTTTTGCTGAGACTGAGTGTGGTGCCTTCAGGGAACTCAGAAGTCCATCATAATGTGTTCAGTGGATGAGAGGAAGACAGGTAGGAGGAACCCAGGAGTCAGCGGTACCAATGTGGAAGGGAGTGGGAGGCAGTGGCACAGTGGCTCAGGCTGCTGGAGATATGTGGGAGCAGACCCACCGTAGAAGCCAGGAGACAGAGAACCTCTTACTAGTTCAGGCTGAGTATTTTTTTTTCATCTTTTTAAAAATGATTTTTCTTTTAGCATATATTAATTATACAAGTTGTGACACTTCCCATATTCTGTAATTGCGATCAAATTCATCCTGTTTTCCTCTACTTCCCCAAACCGTATCAACAAATTTCATTGTTCTATTTTCATATATGCAAATACATTTCTTTGGCTGGATGCATCCTCCTTTACCCTCTCCTGCCCCCCCACAGAGCCTTTTACTGTGATTCATAATTTCAGTGGGTATTGATTTTTAAACTCATTTGCTTTTTTTAGAATATTTTGTTTCTTTGTATTTTTTAAGAAAAGAACCTGTGATGATCTTTTTTTTTTTTTTTTTTTTCTTTGCTGGTCCTGTGATGGGCTCAGGGCCTGGGTACTGTCCTGAGCATTTTTTGGCCAAGGCTAGTGTTCTACCACTTGAATCACAGCACCATTTCTTGCCTTTTGGGTAGTTTATTGGAGATAAGAGTCTCACAGACTTTTCTGCCCAGGCTGGCTTTGAACCGTGATCCTCAGATCTCAGCCTCCTGAGTAGCTAGGATTACAGGGGTGAGCCATTGGTGCCTGGCTAATCATTTTTACATTTTAGATTATATATCCTTTCCTTTCTTTTTATTTTATTCTTTGTTCCTAATGGAAAAAATTTATTCTTGCTCCCTGTCTCCAATTTTATTAATACTATCAAAGATTTATTTATTTTTCTTTTTTGGTATTAGGAGTTGGCCTAGGATTTTTAAAATGCTATCACTGAGCCCAGGTTTAAGCTTTTCTTATGGCCATTTTGAAAGGCAACCAACTTTTTCTTCTTCTTTTTCTTTTTCTTTTTGTCGGTTGTGGGGCTTGAATGCTGGGTTTGGCACTATCCCTCAGCTCTTCAGCTCAAGGCAAGCACTCTGCCACTTGAGCCACAGCACCACTTCCAGTTTTCTGGTGGTTAATTGGAGATAAGAGTCTCACGGACTTCCTGCCCAGGCTGGCTTTGAACTGCGATCCTCAGATCTCAGCCTCCTGAGTAGCTAGGATTACAGGTGTGAGCCACCGGTGCCTGGCTGCAAACCAACTTTTATGTTAATTTTCCTTTTTTTTTTTTGTGAGTTGTGGGTCTTGAACTCTGGGCCGGGGTGCTCTCCCTTAGCTGTTCAGTTCAAGGCTGGCGCTCTACCACTTGAGCCACAGTACCACTTCCAGTTTTCTGGTGGTTAATTGGAGATAAGAGTCTCACGGACTTTCTTGCCCAGGCTGTCTTTGATTACAGGCATGAGCACTGGCGCCCAGCATAATTTTCCTTTTGTTAAGTGTATTATTTCTACTTTTATTCAAATTATTTCTACTCATTATTACTATTTACATAATAGCAATAGTTATGATACACTTATTATTTGTATAATAATAGTAATAGTTACTTTCTGTCAAGAAAACGCTATGGAGTTATTTTTACATGATACTGTGAGGTAAATCTTTTTCACATTTTATGGATGAAACTGAGGTTTGGAGTGATAAATGAACTTGTTTAAGGAAGATATCAACTATAAACTTCAAAATGTAGGGTTGGCTGCCAGTTTAAATACTTTTTAAAAAAAGATGGTATTTGTTTAAAAAGCTCAGAGCCAGCAACAGCCTCAGTTTATCAATTTGCCTTTGATTATTAGTTTGCTTATTCCATAGTTATATTGATATGTAGTATTTAGTTTCATTTTTTGAGTTAGTAATTATAAGAGCATTATTTTTAACTAGAAATAGTTGGCATAGAATTTGCCTAGTTTTATCGCATTCTGGTCTGAGATCAAGTATGTTAAAATTATGGCCTTTAAAATTGTTTTTCTTTGGTGCTTAGGATGAAACTGCAGAACTTTGCACATACTAAGCACATTCCTTTGAACTTTTGTTGTTACTTTTACAAGCTACAGAACACATTTTAAAATGGTAGAAGTTATTATGCCTATAATTCTAGCTACTTACAAGGCTGAGATCTGAGGATCATGGTTCAAAGCCAGCTTGGGCAGGATAAGTCTGTAATACTCTTTATCTCCAATTAACTACCCTCTCTCTCCCCTCCCCCAAACCAAAGTTAGAAATGAGTTGTGGCTCAAGTGGAGAGTGCCAGCCTTGAGTGAAAATAATGGTTAGCGCCTGGCCCTGAGTTCAAGACTCAGTACCAGCATACACACATACACACTTACACATACACTCTCTCTCTCTCTCACACACACACACACACACACACACACTTACAGAAAATAGTATATGCTTGATCCCTCAGAATAGTTGTCTTAAGTCTTGATTCTTGCATAAGTGAAAGTTTAAAGAATCTTTCTCACACTGGATGCTGGTGGCTCATGCCTATAATTCTAGCTACTCAGGAGGCTGAGTTCTGAGGATTATGGTTCAAAGCCAGCCCAGGCAGGAAAGTCCATGGGACTCTTATCTCTACTTAACTGCCAGAAAACTGGAAGCACTGTGGCTCAAAGTGTTAGAGTGCTAACCTTGATCAAAAGAGCTTAGGGACAGTGCCCAGGCCCTGAGTTCAAGCCCCATGACCACCACCACCACCAAAATCTTTCTCAGTGCTCAGTTTCTTCTCTCTTAGCACATAATTGATATGTGTGTGTATGTGTATTTATTTTATTGTATTATGATATATTACAAGACTCATACTTTGAACTATCTTTCTGACATGTGAGATTTTATGTTCTTTAAAAGAATAAGGGGGTGGTGATACTTGTCTGTAATTTCAGCTACTCAGGTGGTAGAGATAGAGGATTGTGGTCCAAAATTGGCCTGGACAAAAGTCTAAGAAAGACCCTATCTGAAACACAATCTAAAGCAAAAAGGACTGGAGGCAGGGCTCAAATGTAGATTACTTATCTAGCAAACTCAAGGCTCTGAGTTCAAACCCCAGTATAGACAAACATTAACAAACAAGAAGAACGAATAAGGAAGCTATAAATGACTAAAATAAATATTATCTGAGAAGTGAATTTGTTTTTAAGATATGATGATAACTCTGACTCTATTTTAGGTAATGGAGCTACTGGTTCACTTGAATAAGCGTATAAAAAGCCGCCCCAAAATTCAACTCCCAGTAGAGACATTGTTGGTTCAGTACCAGGATCCTGCTGCAGTTTCCTTTGTCACAGTGAGTGTTGTTTTGTAATATTTTTCTGATTTACAGTAAGTTTTCTTAATGTTTATTCAGTGCCACCAAATAATTTTATCTGGGACTACTTCTTAGTAAAAATATGAGATTTAAAAAAAAAAAAGTGATCTACCATTTAAGTTCTGATCCCAAGGAAATACTGCTTTAAAGGAAATGGTAGGAGCAGGGTAATAAATAGCTGTTTACATTAGACAAAGAAATGCTGGTGAAGTGACTTGTCAGCTGTGTTGATATGAAAAAGAATGATCTCATATAGAATCTAAAAGAGTTGATTTTCTAGAAATTGAAAGTAAGGAGTAGATACTAGAGGCTGCAGAGAACAGAAGAAGAGGAATGGGAAAAAGTTCACTAGTGGATACTAAATTACATTTAGAGAGAGGCAAGAATTTCTGCTGTTCTGTTACACAGTAGGGTAGAGTACATTTAACAATATAACATTGCATAGTAAAGTGAGGTACAATAATGCACTTCACATTTACCAAAGCTTGAGGTGCCAGCTGTGACACTTGAATCATTGAGGCAGTAGGATTACTTAAACTCAGGAGTTCCAAACCAGCCTGGATAGCATAGCAAGACTTTATCTCCAACAACAACAACAAAAGCCAGAAAAAACAGCACAATAATAACAAAAAAACAAGCCTGCAAAAAGTTCGAGGAAAGTATTTTGAGGGTTCAACCATAAAAAGGATAAGTGAAACAATAATGTTTAATGTAAAATAAGCATTACACACTATGTCCATATAATGAAACATTACCTCACTAATATGTGTATTTTTATATTCTTATGTATCAGTTAAAAAGTAAAGTTTAATGAGGATAATTTTTAGTAAGGGATTATATGAGACTAGTTTGATTAGAGAAAGAAAAGCATAGGCATGGATAAAGGATGATCAAAGAAAAAAGGAGTAAAATGGCAAAAAGACATGAAGGCTTGAGAGAAGAAAACAGCTTCTGAGTCTCTGATGGGTGTATTGAGAAAGATACCCTTTTAAAAGTGAAGCGGCTCTGAGGCTGCTCAGTATTCGTGTTAAGACATTGTTTTCAAAGTATTCCTGTAAAGACATTGTTTTCATGAAAATGAAATGTAAAAATTGTCCCTGCCTTGTGAAGACAGGTAACATTTTTCCTCCTGGTCTTTGTAGTTCTTGGCATTGAGGCAGAATGTATTGAATCTTACTTAACATTAAGAGTCATAAAACTTTTGGAAGCAGTTAGTGGTTTAGACATCTTGTACGTGACTGTGTTCTGTTCACAGAGCTCCATTACAGATGTCCCTTCCTTTCAGCAAATAGAAATACCATGTGCCAATAGATATGCCAAGTAGTTGGTATTTGAAGTGATAATCTTATGCAGTCTGTTCATTTTAGTGAAGAATCCTTCAGAAAAGCAAATCTTATCTTATGTGTTAATTCAGATTTGCTTTCAAGGGTGGGGGTGGGGTAGGGAGAGGAGTTAGAATACACCCACAGTACTCAGCTTTCCTTATTCATCACATGAGGAACCACAAAGTGTTGTAGTATTCTCAGGTTGTTTTAGTAATTGACCTATTGGGAAATGGCAGTTTAGGAATGGTTAACATGTGGTCTCCTAGCTTGTAAGAATTAACAGATAGATCAGATTGGGAGATCTATAACATGTATCATGTAAGTTTAGATAGGTTAAGTGGGCATTTTTTCCTTCTTAGTGATAGGTAATTGCATATATAAGTGCATTAAGTGAGTTGTCTTTGCCCATCTTGAAGTGAGCAGTGTGTGTAGGTTGATTTGTTCTCTGCAATATAGTAGTTGGTTAAAACCATCCTCACCTGGGGTGAAGATGATTCATGTTTTCAGTGTTTTTCTTATAACCATACTTCCCTACTAGTAAATATGTCTGTTGAAATTATACCCTCACTTTTCTCTTTTTGTATTAGAATTTTACTATAATTTATGTGAAGATGGGCTATCCTCGCCTGCCAGTAGAAAAACAATGCGAACTGGCCCCTACCCTTCTTACTGCCATGGAAGGGAAGCCTCAGCCACAACAGGACAGGTACGGTTCACTCAGCTACCTTATTTTCTACCTGCAAGAGTCAACAACTGTCTCTCTTTTTTTTTAAATTGTATTTTTAAAAATCTTTAGCTATACAGAGGAGTTACCATTTATCAAATTAATTTATGAATATAATGCATCTTGATAGATGTTGCTATTTTCATCATTCTCCCTCCTTCCATTTTATTCACTTTTAAATGCAAGTTCACATTTGATTTCACTTGACAAATGGGAAAGTTTGAACTCAGCTAAGAAGTGGTTGATACCTGTGGTACCACTGAGTTACTACATGCATTTTTTATGCATTTATTTGAGTTTTGAAAGGTTGTACAAGGGGGTTACAATTTGATGTGTCCATGTAAGTGTCCAGTATTCCTTTCCCTTCCCCTCCCTCCCTCCCTCCCTCCTTCCCTCCTCTACCTTTCCCCTTCCTTTCTTCCTTCCTTTCGTTTTCTTTTTTTTGGTGCCAATCTTGGGGCTTGAACTCAGGATCTGGGCACTGTCCCAGAGCTTTTTCACTCAAGGCTCTACCACTTTGAGCCACATCGCACTTTCAGTTTTCTTGTACTTAATTGGAGATAGCAGTCTCAAGGCCTTTCCTGCCCAGGCTGGCTGAGATCTGAGGTTCATAGTTCACCGCCAGCCGGGATAGAAAAGTCCCCTTGAGACTCTTATCTCCAATTAACCACCAGAAAACCAAAGAGCGCTAGCTAGCCTTGAGTGAAAGATCTCATGGACAGCACTCAGTCCCTGAGTTCAAGCTGCATGATGACCACCGCCACCACCACCAAAAAAATGTGTTAGTGGAAGGAACTGTTGAAGCTATGTTACTCAAAGTCACAAAGTAGACATTTTAATACTATTCTCAAGATATTGATTTAAGCAACTGAATTTACAATAACTTTATTGTAATTGTGTGAAAGAAAATTTTTATTGAAAGGACATGTTGAACTTTACGTAAGATTTAATATAAAACCTCTTTAGGTCATTTTAGAGGTTAACACTATAAGCAATCAAAGCAAATTCTAGATTAAGACTGTACATGAATGATGTTGCAAATGAATGATTTCTGTTAGAACTGCCAATTTTTGTTGTGATTTTTGTTTTGTTATTATATAAAAACCGTATTTTAAAAAAGTAGTTGCAATAAATGTAATTATTTTTTCAGCTTAATGCATCTTTTAATACCAACCCTTTTTCACATGAAATACCCTGTTGAATCATCAAAATCAGCTTCTCCGTTTAATCTTGCTGAGAAACCAAAGACTGTGCAGCTGCTTTTGGACTTCATGCTGGATGTTCTTCTTATGCCTTATGGGTGAGTGAAAAAATAAAGAAAAACTAAGCAACTTGTTCTTGACAGTGTTTATTAAGTAGAAAGTAAGTGTTATTTTAAATGATTCAGATTTCACTTGTAAATGGATACTTCTCAGAGTGTTTATTGCTGCTCATTGTCCTATAAATTCCAGCTCCAGTGCTTTTTGGCCTTCTAGATGTGGAATTGATTTTATACTCACATGGTCCAAGCACTTTTTAAATGATTATTGATGCTCTGATGCTTTTCCTAGTCACCTTGTTGTATAATTATCAGTTGTCTGCAGATTTTCTGTTCCTTCTACAATATCAGTTCCGTCTTTCTTGATGTTCTGAAACCATTCCCACTGCTTCCTCAACTCTGTCCAATGTTTGTCAAAATGCCTTTCTCATCTTTCATCAGCCTCTCTATACTGTTGTAGAGTTTCTTGTCTTTGTACTCTGTTTTGCTCAAGGATAATACTCTACTATTTGAGCTGCATTTCTGGCTTTTTGTAGTTAATTGAAGATGAGAGCCTCATGGACTTTTCCTGCCCAGGTTGGCTTCAAACTGTGATCCTCAGATCTTAGCCTGCCGAATAGGATTGCAGGCATGAGCCTGCATGAGCAGAGTTTCCTGATTTTTAAAACAAAAATCTTAATCATGTCACATCTTAAATGTATTGACTTCTCATTTTCTAGCTATTAAATACACACATATATTTCATGCATTTTTATCTGTCCCTGCCTTATTTTTAAAGAGAATGCTATTCTTTCTGCTTAAAATGCTCCTCTATGGAACAGAAGGAAAGAAATTCAGAAAGGAAGTAAATTACAGGTTACTTTGAAGAACATCTTTGACTTAGAGGTCACTTCTGTCTTTGATTTTCTTGCCCTAGGCAGATATAATTGTATTACAATCTCCATATGGCAAAACACCTACCTGTATGGCACTGTGGGTTTTTTTTTTTTTTTCACATTGTTGACATTTCTGTTTCCAGTAGTAGACTGTCAGCCCCTTGTAGTCAGGATGTACTCTGTTTGACTTTTGAATCTGGCTTAGTGCCCAGATTGTGATTTGCTGTTTAGGTCTTTTGTCCTGCTGCCAGGGGTGGTTTTCTTTTCTTTTCTTTTTTTTGTCCTGGGGCTTAAACTCTGGGCCTGGGTGCTGTCCCTCAGCTCTTCAGCTCAAGGCCAGTGGTCTACCACTTGAGCCACAGTGCCACTTCCGGTTTTCTGGTGGTTTATTGGAGATAAGAGTCTCACAGACTGGGCTGGGAAGGTGGCTCAGTGGTAGAGAGCTTGCCTTGTATGCATGAGGCCCTGAGTTCGATTCCTCAGTACTACATAAGCAGAAAAAAAAAAAAGCTGGAAGTGGCGCTGTGGCTCAAGTGGTAGAGTGCTAGCCTTGAATTGAAGAGCTGAGGGAGAGCGCCCAGGCCTAGAGTTCAGGCCCTACGATTGGACCCCCCCCCAAAAAAAAAAGTCACAGAATTTCTTGTCCAGGGTGGCTTTGAACCGTGATCGTCAGATCTCAGCCTCCTGAGTAGCTAGGATGACAGGTGTGAGTCACTGGTGCCCAGCAGGGGTGGTTTTTTAAAGTGCTGCTTTCATCATTTTTTCCCCTGATTGCTCTTGTGTACATACACAGTGAACTTCGCTGCATATTTTCTCCCCCTCCGTATACAGTCAAGAGAGGTCAGAATGTCTTGATTCCTTTCCTCTCCGTTTTGTGCTCTTCCTGCTCCTGTTGTTTGGTAACTTGTGATTCTGGGTCTCAAACACTTGTTATTCAACACAAAGAGTAGAAACATTAAAAAAAAAATACCAGAAGGGGAAAAAAAAAGAAAATTGTAAACAGAAAAATAAAAAAAAGAGACATGAGTTTTCATAGCCTCTGTTATATTATAGTTTTCTGTGTTTCTTTGTATCTGATAACATAGAAAATGGTTTCCCTGGTGTCCTGTTGTTATTGTATCAACTAGCTGTGAAAGGCGGTCTCAAATCTTGTACTACCTAAAACAGGATGATAGTTTACAGAGTGTTACGTGTTCAGAACTTGTTAGCTGGTTTATTAGCCAACAGTATTTCTATAGTTTAGAAATGAATGAATACCTCCTTTTATAAGTGGCATATATGAGACAGCTGGAATTGACAGGTGTTAATGACATTGGCAAATAAGCCTTGAAATCCAAATTTTACTTAGGAAAACAATGTGATTGCTCACATTTCCTTACCAATGACAAGTTGCCTCATGTATGTAAAAATACAAAAGGAATTCTTTTAAACAGATTTTTTAAAAAAGGTGTATTTGGAGTCAGGCATTGACATCCATGTCTGTAATCCTAGCTACTAAGAAGGCTGAAGTATGAGGGTTATAGTTTGATGCCAGCCTGGCAGGAATGTCTGTGTGACTCTCATCTCCAATTGACTAACAAATAGCTGGAAATGGAACTGTGCCTGAAGTGGTAAGAGTGCTTACTTAGAGCAAAAAGAGCTCAGGGCAGTGACTAGGTCATGAATTCAAGTCCTAGGACCAGTACCAAAAAAAAAAAAAAAGTACATTAGGAAATTGACTGAATTTGTCATAAAAATGATATTAACTAAATGATCTTCCCACTAGGTTCCAAGTTGTTTCTTTATAGTGATATCTTAATGTCTATTATGAAAATGGTACTTATTAGCATAACATTTTAGAGTTGAGTGATGTAGGTTAATATTTATATTTTCCTTTTTTTACCTGAGGACTACTAATTTAATTGGATCAAAATGAATTTACTAGAGAATTTCCTTTGTTTTGGTACTGTAGTTTGAACTTAGGGAGGCACTTTACATCTAAGCCACTTCCTTAGCCCACTTGCTTTAGTTGGTTTTCAGATAGAATCTTATGCTGGGAAGGTGGCTCAACTGTAGAGTGCTTGCCTCACATGCATGAGGTCCTGGGTTCGATTCCTCAGCAGCATATGAACAGAAAAGGCTGGAAGTGGCACTGTGGCTCAAGTGGTAGAGTGCTGGCTGAGCTGAAGAGCTCAGAGACAGCGCACAGGCCTAGAGTTCAAGCCCCACAACTGACCCCCCCCCCCCCATAAAAAGGTCAGATAGGATCTTATGATCTTGGACTGAATTCTACCTATATGCTTCCTATCTAGCTGAGATTACAGACTTGTTCCATCACATGTGTGGTTTTCTCTGTGTGTGTGTGTGTGTGTGTGTGTGTGTGTGTGCGCACGCGCCTGTGCTGGGGCTTGAACTCAGCACCGAGGCACTGTTTCTTAGCTTTTTCACTCAAGGCTGTAGTGCTACAGCACTTGAGCTACATCTCCACTTTCACCTTTTTGGTGGTTAATTGGAGATAGGAATCTTACAGACCTTCCTGCCTAGGCTGTCTCCAAACATCAGTTCTCAAATCTCAGTCTCCTGCGTGGCTAGGGTTACAGACACTTGGATCTGGCTTGTTCTTTGAGGTAGGGTTCACCTCACACTTTTGTCTTATTTTGAACTGTATGCTTATTTCCACTTCCTAAGCAGCTGGAATTATAGGTATGAACCTCTGTATCCAGCCTAGAGAACTTATTTATATGCTATAAATTTTAAAAATAAGTAGAATAATTAATAACAAGGAATAAAAGGCTTTGGTGTATTGAAAAAAACTGATGCTTATCTTTTTTGACTTTTTCTCATTGCCCTGTTTTTTCCCCTCACTTTTTGTGTGTTATTTACTTGTGTAGTAGGTGACTGTATAGGAGGTTTCAGTGTGTTTTCTACTAGAGATATTAGGAGAAAGTGGGAGAATTGAAAATGAATGATAACTTAATAGAAGTAATGAAAATACAGTTTCAGGTACTGAACACTAGTGACACTCCTTTCCTCTTCCCTACCAGGGCAGTTAACAAACCTGTCTCTATATTTATCACTCAAAATACTGAGCCCATAGTGACTCATAGAGCAATAACTGGTAGATTGAGAGTAACCAAATATTTAGATTCATTGTTGTTAACTGCTGTAGCTGATTGATAACTGTTATATTCTTGGGTGATATATTCTTCGGGTTAATTTGCTAAAGGTAAAGATAACTTTAAAAAATAATACCCTTAATGTTCTTCATGATAAAATTTTTATTTTAGGTACTCTTAAAAAAAAATTTGTAGGAGGGCTGGGAAGATGGCTTAGTGGTAGAGTGCTTGCCTTGCATTCATGAGGCCCTGGTTCCTCAATACCACGTAAGCAGAAAAACCCCGGAAATGGCGCTGTGGCTCAAGTGGTCATGCGCTAGCCTTGAGCTGAAGAGCTGAGGGCCAGTGCCTGGAGTTCAGGCCCCATGACTGACAAAATACTGTAGGAGACAATATGTAATTGAATGTTTCATGTAATGTGTTGCATATACATATGCAAATGTGTGTCTTTTTTTTCCCCCAGAGAGTTAAACCTTCTATTTCCTTTCCAGATATGTGTTAAATGAAACCCAGAGCCGCCAAAACTCATCATCAGCACAGAGTTCTTCTTCAAACAGTGGGGGAGGTTCTGGTATCCCACAGCCTCCCCCAGGAATGAGCTTTTATGCAGCTAAACGTGTTATTGGTGATAACCCATGGACACCTGAACAGCTGGAGCAGGTATCCCGCACTGTTTGCTCATCATGGGACTTGCCCCTGTGAAGTTCCTGGAAGCATGTGTAATATAATTTCAGGATGTTCAGGCTGCTTGAAAGGAGCAATTGATGTAATGTGTTCTTTTCATCATGACATTTACTTGTGAAAGCCCTAGGGAAAGGGAGGAGTGGGAAATGCTCTTAAGGTTTGCTGACATTGCTGACATATTTCAAGTATTAAGCACAACCAGCTTATAAGTTGACTATATTTAAGTTTTAATATTGTAGTTTTTAATTGGAGGATTAATAATTAGCTCCTTTAGTATGGTTAAAATACAATGTATCTGACATCATTCAACTTTTTAGGGCTGTGTATTTTGGGTAAAGTGAGGAACCTCTGTACTTCAGAAGTGACAATGTGGGGGAAAAGCATGACTCCCTTTTATATTTCTTCCTGGGGATTTAAAAATTGGAATTAAGAATTTTATTCTGGATTTAAACAGGACACAGATGTTCTCTGAGCAGCTTTTAAAATGACTGGTGCTCTACAGAGAAGGTGCCTCACTGTGTCTTGTGTCATCAGGCACCTCAGGGAAGAACACATGTGATCAGTATGTAATTATTTTGGAATTCAAGCAACATGGGTTAGTCTTCTAATCCTTCCTTTATTTCTCCATGGCAGTCTCAATGATTTGATCCTTTTTCTTTTGGGAATGTAAGTGACCATTGATCAAAACAGTGTTCCCAGGAGAGGGAAGGGTCAAGTGGGCCACTTGTGCTGCTCACAGATTTATAGAACGTTTTATTCAGTGAGGGTTACAATTGGTTGGATTTACTTTTTCATGTTTTGCGCACTTAAAAAATTCTTAAACTCTGATGTAAGTCAGGTAAATACTAATAGAAGCTACTCTTTACTGAGTGTGATTTGTGACAGCAACTATACTGAGTACTTTGAGTATATCTATCACCTCTTTGAATTCTCACAGCAACCCAGTGAGGTTAATGTTAATCCCATTCCAAAATGACTTTTAGGTTTTAGGAGTCACCAAGGCTTAGGAGTCACCAAGGTTTCATTTCAGTTACCAGAATGTCTAGGGTTAAAAGCTGTGAATGTTGGAGAGTAATTGTCAATGTTTACTTGTAATCTTATCTTGGTCATTATTTGCTGAAGTAATAGGGCCTCTGTATGTATTTTGTCAGTTTTGTAAGCTATTGAGGGAACAAACACTTTAGTTTAAAAAATGAGAGCTGTTTACTTCTAAGCTTGAAGTATTGTTTGTTTTAGATCTTTTCTTGTAAATAAAAGTCCCCTTCCCTTGTTTTTCCTGGAAAAAAAAAAAAGAGAAAAGTTTAAATTCTCAATAAGATAATGGCTAGGGTGTGGCTCCCCAGTCTAGTGCCTGGTGTATGCAGGCCTCTGAATTCCATCCCTTGCACTGCAAAGAGGAAAAACGTATAATGGAAATGAAAATTGCTTGTCACCAAGGTTTGTTCTTATAAACCTTGCTTTCTACATGTATGTATGTATATGCAGTTTTACATAATGCATTTTTACTTGTCAGTTATTTGTACTTTTTTCATTTCATAGTCTTTCAAGATTTAAAACTTTTATCCTTTTCAAAGTTTGTGTGAAATTTAATTCGAATATTTTAAACTAGTCTTTTGTTGATGGATATGTGTCATTTTGTTTTCCTTTACATATTTAAAAAACATATCTTTGTATATTTCTATAACTGTCCTTTTTACAGCTTTTTTAAACTAGTTTTTGTTACAATAAGAGTTGTGTTGAGCAGTTGAGAGAAAACAGGCCTCGTTATAATCCATCATACCATTTAAAATTGTTTCTTTTCATATTTAATAATTAAATCCCATTAGTCCCAGTTCTTCCATGTAAGAAGGATTATGTAACTCATCTAAAAGAGGAGATAGACTTATAATTTTGTATTGAAATTAGTAGCTTGTTCACATTACATGAAATTCTAACCAGAATCTGTTTTTAGTCTGTTTCATTTCAGTTAGTTAGATCAAATACTGTTTGGGTAGAATTGTACTTGGATTGAGTAGAATTGAAGACGTTTGAAAATCATTTGTTTTTAGCACCTAAGCATTTAGCAGATAGAATTTGAATAACAGAGTAAAGCTCTTAGAATATGAATCATTAGGTTATTTTGAATTGTTGCAAATATCCTTAGGGTACTTTACTGTTAGCGTACTGCCCTCTTACCTGTAGACCATAGAGATCTCAAGGCTACATTACCAGGGAGTTATATAACCTCCTCTGGGAGGCTTTGTATTTGAATAGTTTTGTGGGGAGAGACTCGGATTTGATCCTGCTTTGTTTCCATCACTTACTATGCGTTTTAATCTCAGTTTTCTCATCTGAAAGAACTGTATATAATAATTTTTACTTAATAGGTTATGAGAGTCAAATGAAATAATAAATATACATGGCTTAGTGCAGTTTCTGGCACATTGTGAGCCCAAATAAAAGCTGCTACTGTTGTTACATTCATCCTTGGTTTATGACCATATTGATATGTTAAACAGTACTTTCAGTGGGTGTTGCTTGTGTTCCTGACCACTTTTTCTTCTTTCCTTCATTCATCTACAGTGCAAATTGGGCATAGTGAAATTCTTAGAAGCTGAACAGGTGCCTGAACTCGAGGCTGTTCTCCACCTGGTGATTGCTTCTAGTGATACACGCCACAGTGTGGCAACAGCAGCAGACCTGGAATTAAAAAGCAAACAAAGGTAACTTCCTCCTTACCAAGCTTGTGAGCTGACAGGGCCGGATTTCTAAAAACTTCACACTTATTTGTTCTTCTCAGTATCTTAAGAAATAAGATACTCCGTTAAAGAGATTATGAAGTATACCTAGTTTGAAATAAATCAAGTGTACTGAAGAACAGAATTCTGTTTAAGACAAAGAAGAAAAACTGTTTGGGCACCCATTGGGGTCTAGCTTCAAATTTATTTTAATGCTTTTGTCAGCTAGAAAACAGTGGAATATAACTTTGTAAAGATTGCACGTATTGCAGTTTTTGCTCTCTAAACCACTACAACTAGTTGTAATAAAATAAGGAATTAACTTCATGAGCTATTAGCTTGCTTGTTGAAATATGTGAATGAGTGCTGGTAGTGGTTGGGTATATCCTACCACTACATGACACATAAGGTTGTCACTTAGAGGCAGCTTCATTCTGTTCCTGCCTCTTGTTGGCTTAGCTTTTCCTAACACAATTAGAGTATGTTTATTTAACATTCCTCCCACACCCCCTCTCCCCAGCCCCCAAATTCCTTTTTATAGCTGAAGTACTTTGGATGTTTTTCACTGATTTGGTTTTGAAGTATCAGAACATTCTTCCTTTAAGACTTCTTGTGTTTGAGCTGGCCCTATTCTTTCTTTCTTTCTTTATTTTTTTTGGGTCCGGTTGTGGGGCCTGAACTCTGGGCCTGGGCGCTGTCCCTCAGCTCTTCAACTCAAGGCTACCCCTCTACCACTTGAGCCACAGCACCACTTCCGGCCTTTTATTTTTCTGCTTATGTGGTGCTGAGGAATCGAACTCAGGGCCTCATGCATGCAAGGCAAGCGCTCTACCACTGAGCTACCTTCCCAGCCCCTGCCCTATTCTTCATACCATACCATGCATTTGTTTATTGGGACATGCATATTTGTTGCTTAGGGCTTTTAAAAATTTAAAAATATGTTCATTTTCCCATAAAAATAATGTAACATTTTTAAGAGATAAAAAGCTAGTTGATGACATTATGTGGCTATCCCATTGTGTGTATATCTACATGAAAGCAGAACCCATGTCAAAAGGGCTATATGGGGAAATCTTAGCTCCAGTGAAACGAAGCGTTGCATGATTGCTGGATTTGTAAAATGTTTTGGATGGGTCTACTATGTGTAAGAATAATCACCTTATGTCTTAATTAATTTTATGGTGCCCACATAGTAATAAATCTGGTGCTGGCAGATAAGGGAGAGAGGGACACTGAGAGTCAAATGGCATAATATTAGAGAAGAACAGTGGTTTAAAACTTCCTAGGATATGACTTTAAAGGATAAAAATGTTTTTGTACTTCAACCACTTTTGAATTTCCAGTTGTTAAGCAATCATCCTCTGCCCCAGGGCTTTTTGAATTAAGGACAGTATTACTCTTTTTGTTGAGCTGCTCTGGGGTGTTGGTCCTGAGAGCTCATTGGTAGAAACAGTATCCAGTTTTCTTGTGTGCTATCACAGTTGGGCCATTGGATACAATAATCTGTTGCAGCAAGGTTGAATAGTGATTTGCATTTTTCTAAAGTGACTTTGATAGACATTAGACCCCTTTATTTTTTTTCTCTTCTGCAGTGCTAATTACCAATCTCATTTGGGTGTTTCTGACATTTTCTTTTGATAAGTATTGGGTTATGATTTTTTGAAACCATTGAAATGGAATGAAAAAATCATTTTAATAACTGATATTGAAATTTTCCATAGCTTAATTGACTGGAATAATCCTGCCATCATTAATAAGATGTACAAGGTATACCTTGGAGATATACCATTGAAGACAAAAGAGGTAGGTTTTTCAATCAGCATAAAAAGAATTTTGTTGATATAAGCTGTCTTTATTTGTACATTTTCTCCTAGTTTTTTTTTTTTTTTTTGAGACAAGGTCTTACTTTGTAGCCCAAGCTGTCTTGGGACTTGAAATCTTGGCCAAGACCTTGAGTGCTGAGATTATAGACATGTCCCATTTTATCCTATTTTTTCCTAGATGTTTTGATTTAAGATGAAATGCTTTAATTATGAAATACTATCTTTTAAGCTTTGCTAGTCTAAGGTGAATTAAAATCTATCCCTTAATGGCTACACATGAATATGTTGGAAAGATAAGTTTGGCTAATTGGAAAACTTCCCTGGCCCTCCTGTTTGTGTAAAAAATGAAGGCGTTAGATTAGGTTAGTGGTTCTCAAACTATGATTCAACTTTTTAGGTAGATCTGCAAAAGCAGACTTAGTTCTTTTTCTTTTAAAAATTACTAGTTGGTATTTACATTGAAATTAACATAAGCAACAGTAGATGTACCTGCTAGGATCCTTACCAAAACCGGACTCAATTCTGGATGGATTCACAGTTCATGTAGTAGAGTGCCTGTCTAACCAACCTGAAGCCCTGATTTCAACCTCCAGCACCAGAACAAATCTTCATCACTAGCAGCCATTATGGTCTTCATCAGCACCTGCTCGATGCAGGGAGGCTGAATGACTAAATGAGTGAATGAATGAGAGTGACTGGAAGGAAGGGAACAGGGAAAAGATGGTGGGGGAAGGACAAAATGAGAACAGAATTCAGTTTAATAATATCCTGATGAAGCAGGTTATTTACATAAGTAAACTGTGATTATTGAGATAGATATTTAGTAGGAGAAATTTAGTAGGTATCTTTTCTAAAAGAAAAGTATTTTTTCTAAAAGCGGAGGTCACTTTTTTTTGGTGTGTTATTATAAAGGTGATGAACAGGGGCGTTACGATTAACTAAATCAGGTAAAGAGTACATTCCCTTTTGGACAGTGTGTCCAAAGAGGTCACCCAAGAGGTCAACGTTTGAAGAAAGACAGTGAAACAATTTTGTGGGAATGATGAAAATTGAACATTCAAGGAAAAGTTAGAATTGTAGAAATTTGACTTCACTACAGAGGCACAACAGTTTAGTAATACCTTTTCTGATGCAAGTGGTGATGATATGACTACTTCCTGTGTGTGGGAGTGCTGAATGAAGAAACAGTTGCTTACCCAATGTAGCCAGTATTTTCCAGATGATCAGTGATGTTACAAAATCATAAAATCTAAGGAGGCCAGCCAAAATACAAGACAGACCAGTGAAATTCAGTATAATAGTGTAAGCCAAAGCTCAACTGGTTTGGTGTAAACTGCAATTTGCAACTAATCATTAAGCAACAATTTTTTCAGAATAGCATCAAAAGGTCCAAAATTACCTGAAAAAAGCTAAAATCATCCCCATTTTTCTAACCACATATCTATGCAAGCTATTTTTTTTTTTAACTCATCACAGTAGATTGAAAGCAGAAGAATGCTCAAGAGTCAACTCTGTTCTAGTAAAATGGATACTGAAGGTATTTATGTAAAGTGTGAGAGGGCACTACTCCCTGAGTGCAGTGTTTTGAAAGTGTGATTATTTTCATGACAATGTTATTTATGAAACTATGTAGGAGTTAAGTAATGTTTTTGCTTGTATAAGGAATAATTTTTAGATTTCTTTGCTTTAATGTTTAATATAATAAATGTTGATGGTGAAAGGTTTTTGGAATATTCAGTAAGTTTTAAGAGCAAAAAGTGGACAGATGATCTTGAAATGTTGACTTGAAATCAATTGCATTTCCTCCAGGGTGCAGTTCTGAAGCCAGAGCTGAAAAGAGACCCAGTCAGTACCAGAGTCAAATTAAAGATTGTCCCCCATCTCCTTCGCTCTCGACAAGCTGCCGAAACGTTCCCAGCTAATATTCAGGTAATTTGTATTTTCCAAAGAAAAATAGCTTCCCAGAACAAATAATCTGTTTAAAAGAAAGAATATATTAATGGCAATTACAAGGGAGGTTAATGTACACAACAAGATTAATGATAGTGTTTTTTTTTCTATTGTCAGTCTAGTTGCAGAAGTAATTTAAAAAGTTGTTGTAGAACATTTGCTGCATAAGGATGGTAGTAATTCCTTTCAAACATTGCGCGTGCGTGCGTGTGTGCGTGCGTGCATGCGCGCGTGCGTGCCTGTGTGCGTGTGCGTGTGTGTGTGTGTGTGTGTGTGTGTGTGTGTGTGTGGTGTGTATTTTCTCTAAAAATGTTGCCACCAGAAACAGACACTTATGTAAAAAAACTGATCCACCCTTATGTGAAACTCACATGATATCATTGGTCAGTTCCTCTTGATTTTGTGTTCTCAATGTCTTCTTGCTTGATGCTGATATTAATTCAGATCATTACTTTTTGTTTGTGTTATTACAGTAGTCTTTTTACCTTTTCCCTCCCCCTAGTCTGGCTCACATCCAGTTCTCTGTGTTGCCACCAGGATTGTCTTTGTACTTGGAAATTATTATTATTTTTTTTGTCGGTCATGGGGCTTGAACTCTGGGCCTGAACGCTGTCCCTCAGCTCTTCAGCTCAAGGCTAGCACTCTACCACTAGAGCCACTGTACCACTTCTGGTTTTCTGAGTGGTTTCATTGGAGAGAAGAGACTCATGGAGTTTTCTGTCTGTGCTGGCTTTGAACTGTGATCCTCAGATCTCAGCCTCCTAAGTAGCTAGGGTTACAGGCATGAGCCACCGGCACTGGCTTGTCCTTGGAAATTCTTGTATTCTGTCTTGGCCTTCTCTTCAGTTATACCAACTCGGCTATGAAGGCAGTTTGGAGTATAATTTATCTACATGAATTATTTCTTCCACTTAAAAAATGATGGTGAGCTAGGTACCGATGGCTCATGCCAGCAACCCTGGCTACTTTTTTCAGGAGGATGAGATCTAAGGATGACAGTTCAAAGTCATCCCCAGTTAGGAAAGTCCATGAGCCTCTTACTTTCAATTACCTACTGAAAAGCCAAAAGTGAGTCTGTTCCTCAGTGTAGAGTGCTATCCTTGAGCAAAAAACCCCTCAGGAACAGTGCTCAGGTTCTCAGTTAAAGTTCCAAGCCCAGTACAAAACAAACAAACAAACAAACAGGTGGTGAAATAGATGTAAACTTTGCCCTGTTCTTTAAGTAATATAGTTAAGTGACTATTTATTTATTTATTTGTTTATTTGCCAGTCCTAGGGCTTGAACTCAGGGCCTGCATGTTGTCTCTGAGCCTCTTTGTACTCAAAGCTAACGCTCTGCTCCTTGAGGCACAGCACCACTTCTGGTATTTTCTGAGTAGCTTATTGGAGATAGGAGTCTCTTAAGATTCCTACCCAGGCTGGCTTTGAACTTCAATTCTCAGAACCTGAGTAGCTAGGATTACAGGTGTGAGCCACTAGTGCCTGCCTTTATTTATTTTCAGTGGTACATCATGGTAATTTTCATCCTTGAGAGACTGCTACACTGTTTCCATAGTGACTGAACTATTTTACATTCTTCTACAGTACATAAGGAGTTCCAACTTCTCTACATCTCAATGATACTTATTTCCTGTTTTTTAAAATTTTATTTTGATAGCCTTCCTAATGGGTGTGAGGTAATATGTCTTTGAAGTGTTCATGGCTTCTTGGTGCTCTCTCTCTCCCTTCTTCTCTTACACACATTACTGTTTTTTTTTTTTTTTAAATTTGAGACAGAGTCTCACTGCATTGCTCAAGCTAGTCTAACTCCTGGGCTTAACTGACCTTGTCTTAGCCTCCAAAGGTTATTTTAGAAGAGTTGGTTCATTTCATGCATTCTTTCTTTGTACTAGATATTAGTTCCTTATCAGCTAGCTGAGTGGTTTGTTTTCTTCTCCATTCCCCCTCCCCCATTCTATAAGTTGCTATATTTTATTCTTTTGATACACAAAATTTAAAAACTATATGAAATCCGGTTTGACTATTTTTTCTTTTTTTGCCTGTGCCTTTGGGGTTATTTCCAACAAGTCATTGTCAAATCTTTTGCTGTGAAGTTTCTGTCAATTTTGTTTTTCTATGAATTGTATAACTTCAGGTCTTACATTTAGTTATTTGATTCTTTTTTTTTTTTTAATATGGTGTTAGGTAGGGGTCCAACTGTCTTTTCAAGGTGAATATCTAGATTTTTTATAGCATTATTTCTTACACAAGACCATCATTACTCCATAGAATGGTGTCGACAACCTTTTAAAAAAAATATTTGACCAGAACTGGGCACTGGTGGCTCATGCCTGTAAAACTGGCTACGCAAAGGGCTGAGACCTGGAGGATCATGGTTCAAAGTCAGCCCAAGTAGAAAAGTCATTGAGACTCCATCTCCATTTAACCACCAAAATGCCAAAGTGTAGGTAAATCAAGTAGTAAGCATCAGTGGTGAGCAAAAAAGTACAGAAAGAACACAGGACCCTGAATTAAGGTCCTGTACTACCACCACTACTACCACCCAAAATTGACTATATAGGCAAAGTTTTTATTTTATGGCTCTCAAATTATTCCCTAAGTCTTTATGTCTATCATGTGTATCATATATTGAGTTTATTTCCTTTTTTTTTTTTAAGATAGAGTGTCTGCTTGCTATATAGTACAGTCTTGCCTCAGACTTAAGATCCTCCTGCTTCAAGTCTCCTGAGTACTGCAATTATAGGCATGCACTTGTTTTATTTCCCTGTGCATAGATTGAAGAAAGATTCAATCACGTAATTTATCACCTCACCTTGTCAAAATTTTTTATGAGAACATTAAAGATTTGTTCTTTTAGCCGTTCCACATTGTTCTGGACTGTAGCATTGTAGTAGGTTCTGAAACCAGGAGACATGAGTCCTCCAGCTTTGTTGTCTTTCAAATTTTGGTTTTTTGGTTATTTGAGATCCCCAAGATTCTGTATGCATTTAGGATAGGTTTGTCTATATTTGTAAAAGCTATGATTGAGATTTTTCTGCCTTTTTTTTGGGGGGGGGGGTTGGTCATGGGGCTTGAACTCTGGGCCTGGCTCTTCAGCTCAAGGCTAGCACCCAACAGCGCCACTTCCAGTTTTCTGGTGGTTTATTGGAGATAAGAATTTCTCGGTTAAAAAAAAAAAGGAAGTGGTGCTGTGGCTCAAGTGGTAGAGCGCCCAGGCCCAGAGTTCAAGCCCCATGACCAACCAAAAAAAAAAAAAAAAGAATTTCTCGGTTTTTCCTGCCTGGGCTGGCTTTGAGCCATTATCCTCAGATCTCAGCCTCCTGAATAGCCAGGATTATAGGTATGAGCCACCAGCGTCTGGCATGATTGAGATTTTTATAGGAAACTACATTCTATCTTTGGCTTGCTTGCATAGTGATGATTTCTTATAATATTAACTCTTTTAGTGAATGCACATGAGATTTATACATATAAATATTTATAAATATATATATGTATATTTAAATATATATATAAATATTTATAAAATACTTCATTTACTTATGTTTAAAAAGTTATTTTGGCAATACTTTGTAGCTTTCTTTGTACAAGTCTTTGACTTCCTTGGTTGCTTCCTGTTCTTTTTGGTGCTATATTAGAAATGAAATAGTGTTTGGAATTCCATCTGAGATTATTTATTGTTATATAAAAATGCAACTGTTTTTTGCACATTGACGATGTATCTTGCTAGTTTGCTAAATTCATTTTTAAGATCTGTGCTTTCAGTGAGTGCTAAGTACACCCTTGGGCCTTAACACCTTGGGCCTTAACATCTCTATCTTTTTTTTGGTCAATCATGGGGCTTGAACTTTGGGGCTGGGCGCTGTCCCTCAGCTCTTTAGCTCAAGGCTAGCACTCTACCACTAGAGCCATAACGCCACTTCCAGCTTTTTCCTGCTTATGTGGTGCTGAGGACTAGAACCAGGGCCTCATGCATGCAAGGCAAGCACTCTACCACTGAGCTACCTTCCCAGCCCAGGATCTCTATCTTAAGGCTGATTGGTAATATGGCTATTTCATTCTTCTGGAATGTACATTCAACTTCTATGTCTGGCACAACTGTATAATAGACACTTTAATATTTGGCTAATTTCACATATACTATAGGGTGTTTTCATAAAAATGAAGTTGCCACACACTCTTCAAGCAATATTTCCTATGCATTATCTTGAAATTTTTGATTCAGAAAATATCACATGATAAGCTACTAGAATTTTTGGACAAAATACTCATAGTTTCACTCTATCTATCTATCTATCTATCTATCTATCTATCTATCTATCTATCTATCTATCTATCTATCTATCTATCTACCTATCTATCTATCCTACTCATAGTTTCACTCTATCTATCTGTCTGTCTGTCTGTCTGTCTGTCTGTCTATCTATCTATCTATCTATCTATCTATCTATCTATCTATGTCTTTTCTTTTTTGGTATTGAGGATTGAACCCAGGACATCGTACTTGCTAGGCAGGCACTTTGCCACTGAGCTATATCCCAGCCCTATTTCTACTTATTTATATGTTTTGAAAATAAGTCTAGATACAATTAAGCATAAGGGAATTGAGACACTCCCTAAACATTCTTTGTTTTCTTTTTTTTTTTTTTTTGGTCGATCTTGGGGCTTTGAACTCTGGGCCTGGGTGCTGTCCCTCAGCTCTTCAGCTCAAGGCGAGCACTCTACCACTTGAGCTACAGTGCCACTTCCGGTTTTCTGGTGGTTTATTGGAGATAGGAGTCTCACAGTCTCTCCTGCCCAGGCTGGCTTTGAACCGCGATCCTCAGATCTCAGCCTCCTGAGTAGCTAGGATTACAGGCGTGAGCCACCAGCGCCCGGCTCTTTTTTTTCTTATATTCACATTTCTAATGATGGCATTCCCATCCTCTACATAGTTTGCCCTGCCCTTTTCTTGACCTGTCAATTGTAGAATTCTTTATGGTATCATTTAGAGGAATCTCTTCTTTCCTGATACACTTTTAAGAAGGTAAGCATTAACTTCACCTCAGTTTTGCACACATAAAAACACTCAACACAAATCTTCACATATAATATGTACACCATAAATTTAATTTTTTCCATAGAACCTCACTCACTTAGTATTCCAATTAATCCTTTAGTTTTTATTCAACTATATTGTTCTATATAATCTGATATCAGACTAATAGAACTATGAGCCAAATAATGTAATACTGGAATATATTGTGCTGTATTATTTTTACTTCTTTTTAACTTGTCAGTAAGATTTAGTGTCTTGGTTGCAATGTTTGTTTGTTTTTCAATCTCTTAGTGTAGTGGCAGTTATAGAGCCAGAAGCTCAGTGCTAGTCCATAGCCTACATGTTATAATAATTAAATATGAGCAGAGTACTAACAATAGTTTTAAAAAAACAATCAAAAGATTTTTGTTTGTGTTTTTGTTTTAATAAAGTCTGAGTCATCTATAATTTTTAGGAATAAATTTGCAGAATTTTTTGAAGTGTAAGAGTAATATTTTTTATAAAAATTAAGAATTTGAGTGGCTTGGGGATCTTTGATATTGATGTTTAATATTTGAACTTGATGGGTGCTATATTTTCTTTCTTTTTAGACCCGACCTACATAATATGTGGAACAGTTATCCCAACTGCACATTTTTATTTTGATTTTTTTAATGAAGTTTTTAATATAATTTGGTTTGAATGACGACATGTAATTAAGAAAATCTACTGTTTCTATATGATCTTACCTGCTTATGTGGTGTAGAATGCAGAGTGGGGACCCTGCAGTGTGAACTCGCCGTTGCTCCCTAGTGGTAGACTCACACACTTGTGAGATCAGCCAGTGCGTTTGTTAAATCATACACTGCTGATAAGAATGACAAACTGGCTTTCTAATAATGACGACCTCTGTAAGAAACAATATTTTTGAGAAACAGCATGTAGTGTGAAAAGTTTACTATTACTGACTCCTGACTTTTATTTGAGAATAGTCAATTGACATTTTTGTTAATTATTGTCCTTGACTTTGTTCCTTTCACACAGGTGGTATATGATGGACTTTTTGGTACAAATACAAATTCAAAGTTAAGAACATTATCCCTGCAATTTGTACATCACATTTGTATAACGTAAGTTTTCAGACAAATTTTAACTATAAAATTTTTAACTGGTAGAATGACCAAGTGGCTTGGGTATATTGTTTTCATCCTAAAACCTTTGGCTTTAGTAGAGCGGTTATTTCATTTGTCTCAGATATTTCTAAATAATCATCTGAAATAAGATTCTTATCTTGCTTTGAAATATAAGTTGAAATATAATTCTTATCTTGCTTTCTGTTTGTATTTTTTTCGTTTTAAAAAGCTGTCCAGAAATCAAGATTAAACCATTAGGTCCAATGCTTTTGAATGGCCTCACGAAGCTAATCAATGAATATAAAGAGGTAAGCTATTTGCATGTTAAAAATTTAACATTTTATAATTTGAAGTGTTTCCTGGAATGAATCTTTCTGGTCCACATGTTGATATAGTTAATGTTTGCTATTGTTCATTATTAACAAATTTCAGAAATTACTGCCCTTCTTTTTTAACTTTTGTTTCTTTGGAAATAAATATTAAAATGGGTATATATTTTGGGGTTTTACCACTTCTTAAAGTTACGTATTTTAAAGCAAGTCCATTTTATACCTCTATACAAAAATGATATTCAAGGAAATTCATTTTATGGTTTGTTTCCATATGAGGTTATTTGGATTTGTTTTCTACTGGTAAATGATGTTAATTTTTAGGGGTGGAGATTTTATTAATTCAGAGTCCTATCAAAACATGCATTCAGTAAATTTTTGATTCCTAAACAAGAGGGACTAGGATTCTTTTGGCTATAGGCTTTTGAATCCTATTTCTCTCTTCTGTATTTTTCTATCTCCAAAATTTTAGGAGAATATACTTAAAAGGTAAGATTTTAAGAAATCTAGTCAGCATTAATTTCTTTAGTCATAGTTGAACACGAATGCATAGTTGAGTAGATTAAGGTCTTGCCATCTGAAGTTAGAATTGTATTTGAATTTAGGTTTATTCTTTGGTGAGTTATTTAAATCTTTGGACTTTTGTTCCTTATCAGAAAAGTGAAAATAATGCTACCTTATTGGATTATTGTAAAAAGATAAATGACTTAATACCTGTAAGTTTTTCAGCACAGTTGAGGTCCACTTGTAGATATGACTCATAAAAAGCTGTTCATTTGTTGTGCAGCTGTGCTTTGGGCCTGGCTCTCTTAGCTTTACTTTTATTTTTATTTTTTTATTCCTACTGAATAATATGTGCCTGCTTTTTAAAGTTTAGACCATCTTTCACTTATTTGTGGCATTGATAATCAGATGCTTTGGAGTGATTGGTAGAAATAAGAATGCTTTGGGGATTTTAGAGAGAAACTATATATTTCAAAGTAGGAAACAATGCAGTTCAACCACAAGAACCTAATCCTCCTACCTTCAAGTGACATCTGCTTGCCTCCCTAATCAATGAATTGATGAGAATGGCTGTTCATATGTAGAAGGGAGATCCTAGATTCAATGTATAAACTTCATCTGGCACTTGTTACTGTGTTCTTAGTAATTAGACTGATGTTTTTCATAAAACCAAATAAAGTGTTTTTATCTTCAGGAGGGAATCTTATTATTAGTTATGGTAGAAAAATGAGATGAAGCTGTTTATTACAATTCAGAGCTTTAGAAAATTACATTTCTATGTATTGCAATTTTGTGGTGAGAAGACGGATCTTATGTCAGACCAGTGATAAATTTTCTGATAATTTAAACTATTCTTCTAGTGTGTAGATGGCTGGTACGGTGTTGAAAATATCCCGACAGAGCATCAGCTAAGAGAAACCTTTCATATGTGACCACAGCATTTTTCTTGTATAATGAGTTAGTGATGTGAGTTTTTGTTTTGTTTTTCCTTTTAGTAGTGTGATAGATTCTGGGTTTGGATATTTTTGTTGTCCAGATATCATTATCATGTAGTTAAGTAGAGTAGATGTAGGTTTAACAAGGAGTAGGATAATTCATGTAATTGCAGCGAAAAGGTTTTACTGTTTACTGTACTTTTTGTTTTGTCTGTTTTGTTTTTGTTGTTCTTTTCTTTTTCTTTCTTTTCTTTTTTTTTCTTTTAATTTCAAGGACCCTAAACTACTGTCAATGGCATATTCAGCTGTTGGAAAACTCTCCAGGTGAGTAAACCCTTTTTTAGTGAGAGATACCTTGTTGGCAGACAAGAAATGTTTTGTGGCATTTAATAATGGATGGAGAATAAAATTGTTGTGGTTCTGAAAGAGAATGTATGTAATACCCTTAGGTTATTTAGAGATGTCATCTTTGTAGAAGAAAAATAGATGTGATACATTTTAATGTCCATTTGAAGATGTATTATTACATTAAGTATAGTCTTGAAATGAGATTTTGAACTGAATGATGTCATAATGGAATATAATTTTTGTACCCAAGATACATTTGATTAATCTTAAGTATCTTTGTTATTTACAACTAAATGTCATAATCTCAGGGATCATGGTTTGTCTAGTGATTGTTTTTTTTTCTGATAAGTGTTTATGAGCTTGTGTGACCCTATTCCAAAAGATGGATTTATTTCCTTCTCAGCATGACTTGATCTTTCTAATTCCTCTTAGTTTCATCTGCCTTTGCTGTATATCAAAGCAGGGAAACAGAGATGAAGTAACCTCAGTGGCATCATGTGCTGCTACAGCCCCAAGTGGGGGTTTTGTGTGGTTGGTGTAGACTAGATCTTAACTATTCTTTACTGTACAAGGGAAGGAGCTTTGAGATTCGGAAGAAAGTGGCCCCTGGTCTACTTACAAAGCACGGGTTAATCAGCAAACCTTGTCTCGTGTTATTGGCAAGAAGTAGCAAAGCCCTTTACCACGATGGCTTTTTAGTTTAAATTGCAGTTTGGTCTTCCCTCCTTTCTTCATGTTAAAATCAGAAATGTTAACTGAATGCATGGACTGTTATAAAAGAATTATCTGGAAAAGAAAATACATGTTTTAATTAGGGCTAGTTGGATTACATGGTTGAAAAATTAAATATTTTGCTTTAAAAAATATTCAGCTCTTGAGGGAAGTAATCTGATGCTGCTGGCATTGTATTCAGGGAGATGACAATGTGAGCTCAGGAAAACTTGTGTGTAGCTTCATTTTCTCCCTTTTTCATCTCAAGGAGCTTTGATAGTAATGATTCTCTCATATTCTCTTACAGTCGAATGCCCCAATTATTTACTAAGGATATAGCTCTTGTGCAGCAGCTTTTTGAAGCCTTGTGCAAGGTAGGGAATATGGCTGATAAGTTTATACTCTGTTTGGATGCTTACCTGGAAATTAGTAGGGGAGGGAAACACTGTTTTTATCTTCTTTATAGGAAGAACCTGAGACTCGACTTGCTATCCAAGAAGCATTGTCTATGATGGTTGGAGCTTATAGTACTTTAGAAGGAGCACAGCGAACACTGATGGAGGCACTTGTGGCTTCATACTTAATAAAGGTAGGTCCACTATGAATGACAGTGACTGGTATAAATAGATTGCATTATTGTTATTTTTGTTGTTATTTTAGTATTGGTCCTGGGGCTTGAACTCAGGGTTTGGGTGCTCTCCTTGAGCTTTATTGCTCAAAGCTAGCACTCTACCACTTGATCCACTGCTCCATTTCTGGCTTTTTGATGGTTAATTGGAGATTAGATTCTCATAGACTTACTTTCCTGAGTCTGGCTTTGAACCGTGATTCTCAGATATTAGCCTCTTGAGGAGTTAAGATTACAGGTGTGAGCCACTGGTATCAAGCTTACATTCTTTTTTAGACATATACTATTTGTACACATTTGTCACATGATCATGTCAAACATCATTTGATCTTTCAGTATATTTTATATTGTATACTATTCAAATTAAGGCAGACCTATCCCCCAAACATTTCTTTGTGGTGTAAAGTTAAAAATTCTAGCTTTTTTTTTGTGAAAAATACAGGATATTATGATGATCTGCAGTTACCTGTGATGCACTAGAATAGCAGAACTTCTTGTATCTAGCTTGATATCTGTAAGTCAACCTTTCTCCATCTTTTCCTATCCTCTACTTTCCCAAAGATGCTGGTAACCACTATTTGACTTCCAATTTCTATGAGATCAGCTTTTTTTGATTTTACATCTGAATGAGCATGTAGAATTTGTTTTTCTGTCCTTGGCATATTTGGCCTAACAAAATATCTTCTAGTACTTTCTGTGTTGCTCTAGTATTTCTTTTTTCCTTCAGCATTGCTGGGGATTAGACCCTGGGCTTTGTGTACTAGCCAAGTATTCTACTTCTAAATTTATAAGAGTATTACATTTTTTTTTTTTCTTTGTCAATCCTGGGGCTTGAACTCAGGGTCTGGGCACTGTCCCTGAGCTTCTATTGCTTTACAACTTGAGCCACAGCACCACTTCTGTCCTTTTCTGTTTATATGGTACTGAGGAATCAACCAGGGCATCATGAATGCTAGGTAAGCATTCTGCCACTAAGCCACATTCCCAGCTCTAGGAGTATTGTATTTCTAATAACAATATTTGAATTATATTTCTCTTTATTAGATTAATTTTTGTTCTGCTTTTAATTCTTCATGGTGGGAATTTGACTTTAGGGATGAGTTATACTCTACATGGTGATGCTGTTATTTATAGTCTTCCTGTGGAAGAACTATTCTTAATGTCATGCTTTCCACATTGAAAGTATTGTGCTTTCTTAAATAGTAGGTGAGTACTACAGTCCCTGGAGTAGAGTTCCTAGGTAACATTGTTACAGAAAAGCAGAAGGAAACAATGACAAATTGCATATGTCAAAGTGACTCTGTATGAACAAATACGCTAGTATCATCATACATATTCTTCTTTCTTCTTGCCCTTTATATTGGATTTAATGGAAGTATGCAGGAGAATTTAGAATGGCTATAGACACATACGTATTATACAGAAAACATTTATTAAATTTTGCTTTAGTTGTTTAGAGCAGGAAATTAGAAAAGGAATGATGCCATTCATTGGTGAAATTAATATAAATATGTATACTTAAACTGGGCTAAGATGATTTAATACACTTATATTGAGGGAACTCTTAGAGGCTCAGAAAGGTATCTCGTGTCTATTAAAATAGGATTAAATTGTGCCATTATGTACACTTGAAAGCTTACCATCTAGACAGTCCTATTGTCAAGTTGCTCTACTTCGTATTGTCAAGTTGTTCTAGTTCTTAGCTAGGACTGTTGGGCTTATCTGATAGCTCATTAGAATAGAATCCTAGAAACCTTCCCTAGGTCGCTTTGTAAGTAAGTGTTGTATAACAGTTGTATAATTCTTTTTTTATGTATTTGTATAATTCTTGTAGGTACTAATTCTACTCTCTGCAGATGAAAGCTCATTTTATTTCACAACCTGAAATTCAGGCTAGATAGTATAATGTAAACTAGTTCTTTAAGATAGCCTGAGGAATACTAAGTAGCAAATATGTTAGAATGAATGGGATAGTATATATTTCCTAATGTTTTATCTATCTCAGTTGTGTGGCTGGAGGAATGAGCTCTGGAGAAGGGAAGGTACATGAGAGTAAGCCTTCAGGATTAATAAATACCAAAGCCTGTTGAACTGTGTATTTCTAATTTATTGATCTAACTTAAGTGAATATATTTGTGTAGTCATTGTTAACTTTAGATCATTTCTGAGAATGTCAGAAGTGTTTTTTGCTTCATATTTGTAGGAATTCCAAGTAAGCTCTGATTGTGTTCCTTGCAAAACACTTAAATTTCACTTGATATGGCTGAGGAGTTTGAGACTTGAGTAGGCAGAGATAGTGGTCACCAGAGACATTAGCCCCAAACTTGTGCTGTGAAGATATACATGCATAGAAAGATTCTGTAGTTAAGGTTTTGTACATCTTTCCTGCTTTACTCAAAGGATCTTATTAAATGTACTCATGAAAATATATTTTAAGTAATGGCACTGACTCAAAAACTTACATGTAACTTAAGGTCTTAAACAGGGCTGGAGTTCATTGGTAGAATGCTTGTGTCAGGCCCCGTGTTTGATCCCCAGCACCCTCCTCTGTCAAAAACAGATACTGAACAAATGATGTCTTGATTTTACTTATTTAGGCACATGTTTATTAACCTGTCAACTTAAATTTTGGACAGTTTACAGTTAGGATGACATATTATGACTGGCCTGAGTTACTGATTATTGAATTCTCTTTTGTGTGTGTGTCTGTGTCTGTGTCTGTGTTTTTATGTATACAAAAGCCTGAAGTTCAAGTTCGACAAGTAGCTGTGAAATTTGCCAGCACGGTGTTTCCCTCAGATCATATACCTTCCAGATATTTACTCCTATTGGCTGCAGGAGATCCGTAAGTTTCAAAAAGTATTAATTTGAATTTGAGTTCACTTCTTTGAAAATGGCCAAGTTTATGTTGTTTGCAAAATTGGTCTATGAAATTGAGAAGCAATTTATTAAGTAGTTAAGTGTGGGCTAGTCATGTACCTTTATATTTATAACTATAGGTTGAATAGTGTGTATAGACTGTATATAATGTAGGTTATATGTATGTCTATCGTATAGCATTTAGAAGAGAAGTGCTTCTGAAAGAATCAATTATAAATAAAACAAATTGTATAATTGTATGTATAATTATATCTCTAAAAATGGTCCTTATAAAAAACAATGCCATTGATTACTTACTGTACATATTTTAATATTTTTAACATAGAATATAATTTTATATTTAGTATACCAATTTCTCAATGAAGTATATATATATATTGAATTTTAGATTAATGAGTTATTTTATTACATTTCTAGATTGTATAATTCATTTTTTAAATCATTTAAGTGTTTCTGAAATTGACATAACTTTAAAAGCAGTATGTACTTATAATGGGATATATTAAAACAATTCATTAACTATGTTGTGTATTTTAGTTAATGACAGTTTAAAATTCTATGAAGCACTCTAGTATAGGTATAAAATTAAATCATTGTTGCACTTATTATATAGGTTTTTTGTATCTTTAAAGTGAGATTCTCATATTTTGAAGTATCATTTATGCTAATGAAAGGTTTAGATAAAATTATACATCTTTGTTCTGCTTTGATTTTCTTTTTTTGGTTAATAGTTTAAATATCATGGGTATTGCCAGGTCTTTTGGGTGGTGGGCAGTGATGGGGTTTGAGTTCAGACTTTTGCACTATCCAAGCCAGGTACTCTACCACACTTGAGCCATGTTCCCAGCCTAGAATTGCCAAGTTCAATTTAGAGGCAATTTTATGGACTTTTAAGGACCATTATATTATCTCTATGTAAGACTGTTGTTGAGGAAATGAATGATAGTCTGAAATAGGTTGGGTTTGTATTTGTATATATTACTGGCATTTATCAATTGCTAGTTGATGCTGAACTGCATAAAAGTATAAGAATTTGGGTGGATATAAAGAACACTGGATAATCACTGAATGTATAGGTGTGTGTATGATAACCTTGACCTCCCCCTCCTCCACCCTTCCCCCCCCCCCCCCCCCCTTCCGGTCTTGAACTCAGGGTCTGGGTTCTGTTGCTGAGCCTCTCAGTGCTCAAGGTTAGTGCTGTATCACTTCAGCCACCCCACCAATTCTGCCTTTTTCTCAGTAGTAGTTTATTCGAGATAAGAGGCTTATGGACTTTCCTGTCTGACCTGGCTTTGAACCGAGATCCTCAGATCTCAACCTCAGTAGCTAGGATTGTAGACATCGGCGCCTAGCTTGATTTTACTTTTTTTTTTTTTTATGTGTGTCCTAGGGCTTGAACTCAGGGCCTGGGAATTGTCCCTTAGTTCTTTCTATTTTGTCTATTGTGGGTCTTAAACTCAGAGCCTGTGGGCTGACCCTAAGGTTTTTTTCTCAAAGGTTGAGCGCTACTACTTTGAGCCACTGCTCTACTTCCAGTTTCCTGGTTGGGTTGGGGGTATGGGGGGGGGTTAAGGGGTGGAGGATGTTCATTAGAGATAAGAGTCTCATGGACTTTCCTGCCTGGGCTGGCTTTGAAGTGTGCTTCTCAGATCTCAGCCTCTTGAGTAGCTAGGATTATAGGCAATGGCCACTATCACCTGGCTTCCTTAGCTTTTTTTCTGCTCAAGGTAGCATTCTTCAGTTTGAGCCACAGCTTCACTTCTGGCTTTTTGATGGTTGATTGGAGATAAGAGTGTCACGGGCTTTCCTGCCCTGGCTAGCTTCAAACTGTTATCCTCACATCTCAGCCTCTTGAGTAGCTAGGATTGCAGGCATGAGCCAACCATGACTTTACTTTTATAGTGGTAAAGTACACATGTAGCTGTATATATAATAAATTGCAGTATCCTATCTTGTTTTTCCTCTTGGAATAAAATGTACAAGGCAAATGACTCCAAATCTCATTGAATTTCCAAAAAAGCAAGTAATTTTTTATGCTGCATTTTTGCTTAAGTAGACAAAACACATTTTAAGGCATTTTCTCAGATCTCTAGCTTCCATGTAGCATGTTTATTTCATTCTTTAAGTGACCATTCTCTAGTTGATTAAGTTAATTTTTGTTCTTTCTGAAAGACGAGAAGAAGTTCATGGAGAAGCACAGCGAGTATTAAGGTGTCTTCCTGGGAGAAACTCAAAAGAAAATGCTTCCAAGCAGATGCCCTCTTTTCCAGAAATGGTACATTATATCCAAGAAAAGGTATGGCTCTTAACTTTAGACAGTTTTGTAAGAGATGATGAAGCTGAAAATGAGCAGTATAAAGTTAAAAATGTTATCACTAAATGTTGAATAGTAATAAACTTTCTAGCCATGTGAATATATACAGTAATAGGGAATTACATAATGAGGAGAAAAATACAAGTCTTAAACCAATCAATAAATGGGCAAAGGAGCAAAGGAGAGACTTCTCAGAAGAAGTTAGAATGGCAAATAAACACATGAAGAAATGCTCAACATCCATGGCCATAAAAGAAATACAAATTGAAACAACATTGAGATTCCATCTCATCCGAGTTAGATTGGCCAACATGGAGAGTTTGAACAATAACAAATAATGGCAAGGATGTGGGGAGAAAGGAACCTTATTGCACTGTTGGTGGGAATGTAAACTAGTACAACCACTTTGGATAGCCGTTTGGAGATTCCTCAACAAAACAAACAGATCTTCCCTACAGTGCAGTCATACCACTCTTAGGCAACTACCCAGAATATTACAAGTCAGGATATGGCAAAGATAATTGCATATCCATGTTCATTGCTGCCCTATTCACAATCATCTAGTCGTTCACAATCACCAAGTTATAGAAACAGCCCAGGTACCCTACAATAGATGAGTGGATCCAAAAATGTGTGGTATCTCTACACAGTGGATCATTACTCATCCATTAGAGAGAATAATACGTGATTCGCAGGGAACTGGATGGACCCTTGAACAAATAATCTTAAGTGAGGTCAGCCAAAGTCAGGGAGATAAATGGAGCATTGTTTTCTCTCTGGTATGGAAGCTAGATCTAAAACTACCTGGACATGATAACTTATACAGGACTTCATGCATTTACATAAAACAAACTAAAGGAGAATATTCTTAGGGGAGGAACCCAAAGGTGTAACTCCTCTGAACAAATTCCAGGAAATGGGGAAAAAGTAGGTCTTTTTGTTTCTGTTTTGTTATTCATTTTTTATTGTGTAGGAGTTCAAGTTCAGGTCCTTTGTCAGGCAGGCGATCTACCACTGAGCTATATCCCAAGCCCCTTGTTATTACTTTTAGGAGCATTATTTAGGATATCATAAATTTAAGGATGCTTTTGGGAGCGGGTTCAGATGTTTTCAACCATGACGATTCCATCTGCTTTGCACGGTGTTTGCTGCTGAGTGAAGAGTATTGGCATTAGTCATCCCTAACCCTGACTGTCCACAATTTTCTTTTACTGGTGGGATATGGTTTACTGCATGTCCTCTTGGTGACTGTATCACCTCTTGGTGATTCTAGCTTTTGACTAAGTAGGCACCATGAGGGTATTGGATATAAGCAAGCAGCAGCCATTATTCTCTTTTCCTTATCACAGTGTTGTTTGTGGTTGGAAAATGTCCTGCCACTTCCAGTAGTAATGAAAATAATTGGTATTCAGTAGCCTGGCGTGACCAGTTAATAGATGGCTGGCTAGAGTAGGTATGTACTAATCTGGTTAAAATAACCAGTGAAAACTATGTGGGGAAAAGGCAACATACCTGCCATTTAGAGTTCAAGGGACACATACAATCAGGGGCATTAGTAGGAAAATATTTTGGTTAGACAGGTGCAAATCATTGATAATAATGTAGATAGAGATAGTTATTTTTGAGTTGAGGAAGGGCATATGTGCTCTGTTTCTAAATAATTTTATTTGTTTGGTGTTTGTTATTAGGCTTCCCATCGAATGAAAACTCCAGTCAAATACATGACTGGGACCACTGTCCTTCCCTTTAACCCAGCAGCATTTGGAGAGGTAGGACTTTCATATATTGCTGTTTGTTTCTGTAAAGGTTCCAGATGATGGCAACATACCCGAATAAAGTCATATGGTCTCTTTGAGTAATAGGCACACCCATATTGTAGTGCCATTTTTCTTTTTAAGGGTCTTTATTTGGTAGTTTGTATGATTATTTTATTTTATTTTTTTAAATACGTTTTTTATTGTAAAAATACTGTACAGCGGGCTTACAGTTACATGAGCAAGGTAATGAGTACATTTCCTATCAAGCATTGTTACCTCCTCCTTTGTTTTTTCCCCTACCATTCCTTCCCTCCCATATTATTTTAATTAATAATTATTTGCTCAGGTTCTTCCCTTCCTTTTGCTCCCCCTGTGCTGGGGATGAAACCCAAGGCCTCAAGTATGTGAGGCAAGTGCTGTAATCCATGGGGCTGTATCCCTCTTCATCTTAGCGAGATTCTTGTGAAAGAACTAAATGCTTTGCCTTGGTTACTGTTGGGCTTTTTTTTTTTTCCTCTGATAGTCTAGTAAGTTAGAAAAATGTGGCTTAGATACTTTTCTTCATCCCAAAGCTTTGGGGAGTCTTAAATTTTTTTTGTTGTTGTTGTTGTAAAGATACTATATAGACTACACATAGAGCTCCCCTATGACCCAGCAATCTCACTTTTGGGCATTTACCCAAATGATCATAAACAAGGCCATACTAAAGCTACCAGCCCAACTATGTTTGTCATAGGATTACTCA